AACTACCACATATTTTAAAAGGTCACCTCAAACATATCTATTAGATTGGAGCAGTTGATCGTTGTTCCCCCTTTGGCTCTTGATGCAACTGGGTGGTCTGAGTTCGAACCTTGATGACAATATTCTTTGCAACTTTGTTATGAATAATTGGCGTATACATATACTAAAGTTAGTGGTATCTTCATTGTATATATCCTGAATCCACATTTGTTTCTAGATCAGTGGCGGATCTAGGATTTTTGTTCAGGGGTTTGAAAAATAAAAATATAAACTTGTATATAAGTCAACAAAACAAAATTTCAAGAAAGTAGTAGTATATAGTTTTAGTGGCGGATCCTTGAATTTTTTGGGTTTAAAACCACACTTTTCGCATTATAAAATTAAAAACTAAAAACAAATGTGAAAACAGGACTGAAACTATATAAAATAAAATAAAAAGTACACAGAAATTCGAACCCTCGGTGTTAAGCTTAATTTCAAGGGAACCTACTGCTGGGCTATAAGTTTTCAAAATATATATATCCACATAAATACAGAAAATTACCTTATACATAGAGTGTAATTCTTTGTCGAGGGGGTTCGGGTGAACCCTGAACCCACGTGAGTCCGGCCCTGTTCATGTGTAGTAAGTATTTTCTTAATGTTTTTTGTTTTGTTTCTTTCTGTAGTTTTCTTGGTAAATATACATTTTTTACCATTATTATTTCTTGTCTTTACCACTTTTTTCTTGCTTGTTTTCTTTTTTTTAATATTTGTGGCACTTTATTGCCCCACCAATGTCTACTATAGTATAGACAATTGTCAGGATGAATACATGCGGTTTCTTTTCAAATTTTCAATTATGAGAACAGCTTCTCTTTTTCTATAATATAATTATGAGAACATTTTTTAAAAAAATAAAATTACGTTATTAGTGTAATTTAATGGGCCGATTTTTTTAGTATACTATTTAAGAATTGTATTTACACCAAAATAGCAATACTTTTTTTTTTATTCATATAGCAATTTTTTTTTTTCAAAAGTAGAATTTAAATAAATAAAAAAAAGATTTCCAAATCAGCCACGCTTATCACTATTCCCATAAATTTCTCCAATTATTTTACCTTCCTTATTTATTCAAATTTGTTATATATTATCTTCCAATAGAGGTTTCCTACCAAAACAAAACTCCCCTTCTCTGATAAGAACAACTATCGAAAAATGAATACCAATAATTTTTCAATTCTAATTCAACACAACGGACGATGGGACTCATCAGGTAATTGTATAAAATAGTTCGCATGGTGTTTTATTACGTGGTTATATATGATTTATCACAAATATCTATTTTGTACTTTTTGAGAGTTATTCGTTTGGTTTAGTTTGTCTATTTTGGTGAAATTGAATTCATCTAATTT